CATAACGAAATTGTGAAACGATATGTATTTGCTCTTCAAAATGTTCAAAGAGGCGGCTTCAAGATTTTGTTGGAAACTAAACGCTCGTTCTTGTTTTAAAATAATATTTTACTGAAATTTGTGTATGGTATTTATACAACTTCTTTGTATTTTCCTGATAACTACTACTACAAATAATTATGCATTTTCGGATTCACATAATTCCACATTAAGGTACCCTCGTTACTTCTATAGTTAGCACATCGAAATCGTTCATCGAACTTTTACATTGTACATTGAACGTCAGACCAGCGTCGTGGCATTGTCTACTGAGATGCTACGACACCATGCTGAGTGGATACCTTTTCACTATCATTGTAATTACCTACTAGTTAAATAATTTTAAGTATTGTTGTAGCTTAAGTGTATACTGACTAAACAAACATATTTTGTTATTTCTTTCTTTCATCAAAAAATCTATGAAGATTTTAGTTCTTCAAAAGTATGTCATACATTAAATGTAATGTTTTTACAAAGTCGCTAGCGATGACATTTGGTGTAAACTCGCACTAAGCACGCTGACGTGCGTATTCACAAACGATGCTTGCAGAAAATCGAACGCACAGTGTTGAATAGAGCTCTTTGATTGGTTCTTGTGTCACCCTGTGCGTCCACGCACACTGTGAGACCTCATAGTAATGTTTGTGAATACGGGCGTGAGTATAATGTCTAACTAATCATAATTTACACGTTAATTAATTACTAATCAAACTAGAGCCCTAAGCTTTTCATTAACACAGCAACAAACTTATTCCATTACATACTGAAGTGAGGTACCAGGCCGTAAGCTCTAGAGAACGGGTAAAGCTCTCGGGAAGCTTTCATAAAGCTCTTAAATTTCAATTTCAGGGGATCAGACTGCATCGCATGCGAAGCCGGGTCGTGAGTGGAGGCTAATTCTTTAGTTGCACGTTTTTCGGGGGCAGACTTAATGTTANACTTGTTAAATTATGGCAACCCAGTAACATCAAATAAACTATATAATGTTGGTACTTCTGCTAATCCGCTAATGTTGGCTCTATGTGTTTTTCATAAGTAATAAATCTCTTGCTCGTTGTCTGTTCAACCGAACGCTGTGTTTTATTAGGTTATGGGCCCAGGACGCCCGATTATTTAGAATTCGATCAGTATAACAGTACAGAATGCAGTTCTTAGATTATTCAGTTTAGAATTTGAAGAGTGCAGTGAGAAAATACTGAAAACGATAATTGTAGAAGAAAAGTAACCTCAAAATGGCTGCCAGTTCTTTTCTTATGAACGTCCCGAAGTTAAAGGGGCGTGAGAACTTCAGCGAGTGGGCATTTGCTGTGGAAAACATGCTTATTCTGGAGGGAATGTCGGAATGTATTAAGCAAGAACCTACAACAGCGACTGCAGATTTCATCGCGAACGATGCAAGAGCAAAGGCCAAGTTGGTTTTAACCATTGACCCATCACTATATGTTCACATTAAGAATGCTACGAGTTCAAGGGACCTGTGGAATAAATTGCAGACCATGTTTGATGATAATGGATTTTCAAGGCGAATATCATTGTTACGGAGTTTGATATCGATTCGCCTAGATAGTTGTGAATCCATGACAAGCTATGTCACGCAAATCATTGAGACGGCACAGAAGTTAACAGGAACCGGTTTTGCTGTGAACGATGAGTGGATCGGCTGTTTATTATTGGCAGGACTGCCGGAAAAATACTTCCCAATGATAATGGCAATAGAGCATTCCGGGATTGCCATTACTGCTGATGTAATAAAAACCAAACTTATTGACTTGGCGGGAAATGATTGTGAAGCAGGAAGTGCATTTTGGAGTAGTAGAGGGCAGCACAACAGCAACAATTACTACAAAGTTGGTAGTTCTGACAAGCAACATGGCGGAGCCCGTCCTAATGTAAACAAAACTGACAGATCGAAAATTAAATGCTACAAATGCAAACAATTTGGACATTTTATGAATCAGTGCACGCAAAACGATCAACCATCGGATAAAATAAAGACGACAAACGCTTTTTCTGCTGTGTTTTTAAGCGGCAAGTTCAGTAAACAAGATTTCTACTTGGATAGCGGCGCGAGTGTTCACATGACTCCAGATGTAAATATGGTACAGAACGTATCGAGCACAAACATCAAAGAAATTGTAGCAGCTAATCAGAGCCACATGCCAGTATTGTGTTCAGGGGATGTTGAAATCTTGACTGTTACCCCAGATTGCATGTATGAAGTCACCCTGAAAGACGTTTTGTGTGTGCCTAACCTCGCCACGAACTTGATATCGATCAGTCAGCTTGTCAAGAATGGCAATAAAGTAGAGTTCCAAGAAAATAGTTGCTATGTTTACAATAAGGCGAACAGTCTGGTGGCTGTAGCAAATCTAACTGATGGTGTGTACAAAATGGTCTTGGAACAGAAAAAGTGTTTATTTTCATCGGGTTCATCAGCTAGCAGTGAAGTCTGGCACAGACGACTAGGCCACTTGAATGTTAACGACCAAAACAAAATGAGAGATGGTGCAGTCACTGGAATATCCTACCCTGGTAATGAAGTCATCAGCAGGAATACATGCACAGTGTGTTGTCAAGGGAAGCAATCGCGCTTACCATTTGGTCATGCAGGAACAAGAAGCAGCGAGCCCTTGGAAATAGTCCATGCTGATGTCTGCGGCCCAATGGAAGTTTCTTCAATAGGCGGAGCAAGGTACTTCCTAATTTTTGTAGATGACTTTACTCGTATGGTATTTGTTTATTTTCTCAAAGAAAAAGGTGAAACTTTTAAATATTTCAAAGAGTTTAAATTCATGGTAGAAAACCAACAGAGTAAAAGAATTAAAATATTCAGGACTGATAATGGTACAGAGTTTTGCAGTAATATATTTGAAAATTTCCTCAAAGATAGCGGCATCATTCATCAAAAAACTAATGCTTACACTCCTGAACAAAATGGCTTGAGTGAGCGTGCAAATAGAACCATTGTTGAGCGAGCTCGATGCTTATTATTTGATGCAGACTTAGACAAAAAGTTTTGGGCAGAGGCAACAAATACCGCGGTCTATCTTAAAAATCGATCGACAACATCTGGACTAAATAATAAGACACCATATGAGCTCTGGACAAGCAAAAAGCCTGATTTGAGTCATGTTCGCATATTTGGTAGTAATGTTATGGTCCATGTCCCAAAGGAGAAAAGACACAAATGGGACAGTAAGGCACAGAAACATATCCTAGTAGGCTTCTCAGAGAATGTCAAAGGCTATAGAGTCTATGATCCAATCAAAAAGTGTGTGACTACAAGTCGTGATGTCATCATTCATGAGAATACTGAAAGGAGCTGCTTTACTGATTCAAGTGTATCTATTTCAGTGGGGGAGTGTGACACAGCAGAGGAGCTGGACCATGATGAACAGAAAAATGATGCGAGCAAGTTACAAACAAAGATTGACCATAATGCACTGGATGTTTCACTTGATTATGATGACTGCGCTCAGAGTGAGTTGGATAGTATACAAACAATAATGGAGGATGAACTTGAACAGCCCGAAGACCCAGAACCAGTTCCAGTAGTTCACAAACGTATCAGAAAGAAACCAGATCGTTACGGCTGGATGGCTAATTCTAGTTTGGCATCATGTTGTGAGTCTTTCAATGATCCATCCAGCATAAAAGAAGCTTTAGAAAGTCCTGATAAAGAAAAATGGATTGAAGCTATGCAGGAAGAACTTCAAGCCTTCAAAGAAAACAATGCCTGGAGTCCAGTGAGTGAGTTACCTTCAGACAAAACTCTAGTACAGTGTAAGTGGGTTTTCAAAAGAAAAGTTAACAGTGATGGCAGTGCGCGGTTTAGAGCACGTTTAGTAGCTAAAGGCTTCACTCAGAGGCCAGGAATTGATTATCAAGAAACATTTTCTCCTGTAGTTAGACATACAACTCTCAGAATGTTATTTGCATTGTCTGTACAGCTGGGGCTCGATATAACGCATTTGGATGTAAAAACAGCCTTTTTAAATGGTGATCTTAAAGAGGACATTTATATGTTACAACCTGATGTATGTGGTGATGCAAATAACAAGAAAAATATTGTAAAGTTAAATAAAGCAATTTATGGTCTAAAACAATCTTCGAGATCTTGGTATGAAAGAGTTGAGAAATGTTTAACTGAATTGCAATTTAAGAAAAGTCATTTGGAACCCTGTGTTTTCACTAAAATAAATAATAATGTTAAAATTATTATTGCACTTTATGTCGATGATTTTTTTGTTTATTCAAACTGTAAAACTGAAACTGAAAAATTGATTTCTGTATTGAGCTCTAACTTTAACATTAAAAATCTGGGACAGGTTCAAAATTGCTTGGGAATGAGAGTTAATATTGACAAAGATTTAAATGTAATTACCTTAGACCAGGAACAGTACATTGAACAATTGTTGGAAAGATTTAACATGTCTAATTGTAAAGGAAGTAGAACTCCAATGGAATGTAAACTAGATATTGAAAAAGGTGATGTTTGTGATTCAACTATACCATACCAAGAATTAATTGGTAGCCTTATGTATTTGTCTGTGCTCACAAGGCCTGATATATCATTCAGCGTTAGTTTTCTGAGTCAATTCAATAAATGTTATACAGAAGTTCACTGGGGCTATGCTAAAAGAATTCTTAGATATTTACAGAATACTAAAAGTAATTGTATTAAATATGTAAAGAGTAATCCAGGGCTTGTGGGGTATGTAGATGCCGACTGGGCTAGTAACTGCATTGATCGCAGATCATATAGGGTCAAGGAGGCAACAGTGACTCGGTCGGCTACAGTGGCTCAGTCATGTTTCGACCTGAAGGCATAGGAATATATATTTGTCTCTTTTACCGATTCAAAGGTCTTGGTACCCGAACACGTTTAAACCAGTTTGCTCGCCGGTCAAGTGCCGTGCGGAAGGGTGAGGGAATGTTTTTTGTTTTCGCGCCTNAAATTGTAACTTTAAAATATTTGCCCACAACTGCTATGCCTGCTGATGTTATGACTAAATCTCTAAGTCCTATAAAGCATTATAAATGTATAGAAGGATTGGGTCTTGGAAAAATTTAAGGTTAAAAATTAAAACAAGTTTGTAAAGTTATTAGTTTATTTGCTGTAGTGGGGGTGTTAAATTATGGCAACCCAGTAACATCAAATAAACTATATAATGTTGGTACTTCTGCTAATCCGCTAATGTTGGCTCTATGTGTTTTTCATAAGTAATAAATCTCTTGCTCGTTGTCTGTTCAACCGAACGCTGTGTTTTATTAAAACTTCATTTTTTCAAAACCCCTTAAGTATAAACAACTAACCGATAATATAAATTTAACATGAATTAATGTAATAATTTATCACCGTCATTATAACAGCCCACCTCAACGGTAGTACTTACTTTTCAATAAAGATAATTTATAATTGATTTGATATTAAACAGCCTACTTTCCATGATAATGGTAAATGGCCTACTGAACCAATTCATCATTTATTAGTCAACACTTCATTCCAGCTCGCATGTCAACATAAAATAATCATCGGTGTTTAACTACCCACGGCTAATAATTGCTTCAAATTAATTACACTGGGCTTTGCGTGACATTGTCCACTGAAATTAGTTTTGAACTGGTCCTGGGTCAGTTCTAGTGTTTGTTTTATCTTGGTATTTTAAAGCTTGGCTTCTCAAATGGATAGCAATTCTGAAATCTTTTATAGGTAAGTTACAACTATTCTTCTTCATTGATATTCTACCCTTTTTGTTCTTGTTGATAGGTAACATAAAACCTCACCGATTGCGCTATAAGGCCGTCTTATTTGGCAAATAAGAGTGTGCAGGGTAACATTATAATATGATAGCTACTTTTCTATCTACGGACAAAACCTTCCTCAAGTCTTGAAAGTGGTATCAAATGTTTATAATTTTACCAACAAAATGTCAGATTTCTGACCATAATCGAGTGGATGAGGAAGAGGGGACATTTTCACAATGTAAGCGTGCATTTTTTTCTAGGATGCATGCAGTAAGAGAAGTATGGTGGCAAAAGTACAGAAGACAGCAGTACAAACGCAAGAGGCTTAGCCTCGAGATGATTGTGCGCAAGAGTGCGAGGGAGGCAGGCAGAGAGTACATTAGCCACTGCTCTGTGGCCGGGGTGAAGCAGATCAGAGACCCTGATATTGGTATCATTGAAAGGTATGGTGAAGCCAGACTCAGTCCACTTTTATTGTAAAAAACAATAACAACATGTAACAAATGGTAAGGCATATTTGTTTTACCCACAATGAGGAAGCTCTTGGCCTGTATCTCACCTGATGGTAAGTGATGATCAGGCCAAAGGTAAGGAAGCGAGCTTCACCCGGAATCCTCAACCATGGAGGAACTGGCTATCTTACCTCTAACTGCCGGAACACAACAATGCTGAACATTGTTGTTTGCGAGTCTGCGAGCAGACTGAACACAATGTTTGTAAGAGGTGGGCCTAAAAAATCATTGTTAGTAAATTGACACGAATTGACCGTTTGTTTCTGCCTTTGTAAAACCCATTTTAAGAATCATGTAAGCTTACTTTTATTCCGGGAATTTGCGCAGTTTGCAAAGGAAGAGCAAACAGTGACAAATCAAAACTCCGGTGGCACAGCTGCTGAGTCTTAAATAACTATCATTGCAAAGTTTGAAATCACCCCAGCACGAAACTTAGTTTTGTGGATAATTTTGCCTTCAGGCTGTTCCTCTCATTATGGTGCATATTTTCAAAACCATTCGGAAGATTTCAAATCAAAGTGAGTAAAGTAAAACATTGAGACTGCAATTATCGATACCTACACGTGTAGATATGTATTTCGTTCAAAAATGAACCGGCTAAAGCAATTTCCATACCTTGAACTTCTCATACGCAGCCTAGGCAAGTAAATAGTTAAGTTATTTTGACATTTATGGAGCAAAACTTGAACAGGATTCCATTATAAAATTTTCCGATGCGTGTACTTAATATCTAGATGTTGTGAGTGCAAGATCATCGGTTTCAGTTTTCTAAAAGGCATTTCACCCACTTATCACAGTTAACTACACGCTACACTAATGACACGATTTTTAATCCAATCTACACAACAGCCGGGATGTTAGTTCCTGGCAGGTTACCTAGTGTAAAACTGCAGGGAAGTCGAACCTTAACTTCGAATTCCTCCTATGTTCTTCTGATTAATTTCGTTGCGGGTTCTATGACAGTTTAACTTTCCTCCGGGATCAACTTGGACCTTCACTGGTTGGGTTTTTATTGGCGATGAAGCTGTAGATCTTGGCTACACAGTAGGTGCACGGAACGAAAGGTGGGAATGGTCCCGTTGGTAGGTTCTTACACGTGTTAAAACCACTGCTCTTACTTCTTACTTTCTTCTACAGATTGATATGGATAGCACTCTTCGTAGTAATGGTCGCGTCCCTAATCAAGACTCTTATGGACACTAAGCAGCAGACCATTCTCAACCCGCTGATAGTGACTATGGAGTCGTCCACCCATCCCATATCTGACATTGACTTCCCGGCCATCGCCCTGTGTAATGTCAACAGGATTAGCAAGAAGAGTCTAGAGGCACTTGCTACAAACATGTAAATACCATTTTTTTTTTTTTTTTTTTTTTTTTTTTTTTTTTTTTTTTTTTTTTTTTTTTTTTTTTTTTTTTTTTTTTTTTTTTTTAAAAAAGATTATTACCAATTTGTATTGCCCAAATTACTAATAGTCCCATTAGCCCCTCGTGATAAGCTAAATAAGCTTGTGTTACGAGTGGGCTCACCACAATAGTCGAGCGGCGGTGGGATTCGAACCATTAAGTATTACTAAATAAATCCGTCTGCTCGTTTGCCTCCTATCCCATATAAAAAGTAAGTCTTATTAGATGTCATGTCATCAGGCAGCGCCCGATATATGGGATTCCAAAATCCGTTAGATATCTTAAAAAAACTGTTAGAACCTTACACTAAGAACTCAAACCTATATCTTTGTAGAATAGTATTATTAATAGTTTGTCAGCTAGGGCCCATAAGCATATAACATCAAGCTCAACTCCTTTGCTTACTACTACTAAGTACGTGGTCATAACTTATAATATCGGTAGCGCATTTTCTTACATAACTTTTCAATTCCTATCATTGGAGGTCCGAAAATATTTCTCATACAATTTGATACCATAATGATAATTCTTCATAAAAAATTTAAAACCTACATATTTAAAAACATAATCATTGATATTCATAATATCACTAATCATACACTTAGTTTTTACTAATATTTGTTTTCATATATTTTTCTATACTAATGATCGAAACTCATAATCATTCGAATAAATAACTATAATATTCATAAATGTGATGTAGGTATCCTAATATTTGTTTTCATAAATTTATTACTCATAAGTCCATCCATATTATTGAAAATCATGATGTCTATATTCGTATTAAATCAAAGTCAAAGTCAAAGTCAAAATTTCTTTATTTGTTTAGACTAATAAATAGTTCTTACAAATCGTCATTTTGCTCTTAAGGAGCCTCTACATGTCTCATAATCTTTTTACCCTACCAGCGCTTCGAGACCAACATTTGGCAAGTGCTGAGAAGAAGCGCCGCAACAAACTCAGTCACCACTGTCTGCCGGTTAATATAAATAAATAGAAATAGCAGTAGGAGGTACATTCGATTCAGGAGCAGTTCACCGAATTTACCATGCATTCTTGTATAGTGTATCTTATAAGAATGGGTATACAAAATTGCGTGGTATATTAAACAAGGTAGTGACGTGCTAATATCTAGACTTACAGATTACATACTTAAATACTTGTAGAAATGACTCGCATACATAAGTTGGAATAACTTGGATTGACCAGTCCCCGAAAGCAGCGCCTGTTCACAGACATGACGAGTGAACCAGCTACAGGTTATTGTTTTTTAATGTCAGGTTCACCCATCTCTTGGGAGAGTAGAAAACAACAAACAGTTGCCCTATCAAGTATGGAGGCAGAATATATGTCTATTACAGAAGCATGTAAAGAAGCTATATATTTGAGATCTCTATATCATGAAATAACTGGAAATTTGTATTCTGTTTTGTTATATAATGATAGCCAGAGTGCACAGAAGTTGGTGGCAAATCATGTGTGTCATAGAAGAAGCAAGCACATTGACGTAAAATATCATTTTGTCAAGGATGTTATTAATGACAAAATTGTAATTTTAAAATATTTGTCCACAACTGCTATGCCTGCTGATGTTATGACTAAATCTCTAAGTCCTATAAAGCATTATAAATGTATAGAAGGATTGGGTCTTGGAAAAATTTAAGGTTAAAAATTAAAACAAGTTTGTAAAGTTATTAGTTTATTTGCTGTAGTGGGGGTGTTAAATTATGGCAACCCAGTAACATCAAATAAACTATATAATGTTGGTACTTCTGCTAATCCGCTAATGTTGGCTCTATGTGTTTTCATAAGTAATAAATCTCTTGCTCGTTGTCTGTTCAACCGAACGCTGTGTTTTATTACTTAAACTGGAAAATTAGTTTGCTGAAACTTTAAAGTCGTGCTGAGCTTTTCACCGGATTTCAAACCTTTTAAACATCTAAATATTATAACTCAAGGGTGACTGACTGATTGACTGACTGACATAGAGATCCATCAACGCACAGCCCAAACCACTGAACGGATCGGGCTGAAATTTGGCATGCAGGTAGATGTTATGACGTAGGCATCCGCTAAGAAAGGTTTTTATGAAACTCCACCCCAAAGGGGGTAAAACGGGATCCATGCGTATGAAGTCGCGGGCGGCCGCTAGTACATGATACTTTATAGTTGTTGGTTGTCCCTTTGTGAAAATCCAGCTACTTATAACTAAAAATTAGGAAGAATTTTAATGTTATGAAGGACTAAATTATGACCTAGGTATTCTAGAGTTGAAAGAGAATAATAGATACTGTTCGTAGAGGTTTTGCCTTTTCTTATTCATTCGTATGAATGATTTTTTATGTAAGATCTTTTACGTGAGTACAAAATGGAACTTTTTATTTTTTTATTTATTGTCTCATAAAAGTTACATCGATTTTACTTAATACTAATCTGCCAAACTGCTTAACAGTTTGTCGGCACTCATTCATAAATGTCGCGTTAAGACCCGTGTCTTTCTATTTTGATTTGCTTGTTACTGTTATTATTCTTGTTTATGTAGTACTATTGTATATGTTTTATGACTCTATTCTGAAAGAGACACCGACAGGTCATTGAGCCACCCAAAGTAGTTTAGTATCCTAGTTGTTCAAACAAAGTTTAAATCTTAAAACCATTTTTTCTCTTTTATCATAACCGTTTTCTATTCGAACAGAAAAACAATTTCCATATTGACAAGAACTATAAATTCAATCGAGTATAAAACAGAAATAGGCTAGTTTGGGACATGGAACTTTTCACAATTCAATGTTTAGTAAAACAATGTTCGGTCGTCGTCTCTTGTCGGCTGAATATTTCATGTGTGTATGTGCAATGTTGCCTAATGGTAAGCTATTGCCTTCACTTTGATACCGGGAGTGACTCAGTATCAATACGTTGTGCGACATTATGGCGAATTCGCCGAGTGACATCTCTGGCAAGATCCTTTTGTACAATTTTCAAAAGATAGAATAGCATATCGGGCAACGTTTTTTAAAATGCGGCGACTTTGTGCAACGATTGTTACCTACGCGCAGAATACTAATTAAAAAATACATTATCGACTATAACTGTGAGAAGTTGCATTTTTCGCCTCCCAAAAGCTACTGCATTATTTAGTAGACGCAGGACCCAGATTTCAAACTAAATATAATATAATGGCGATAAAAATAGAACAATAAGGTTCGCAGTGATATTAAGACTCATCATCATCATTTCAGCCATAGGACGTCCACTTCTGAACAATCATTTCCTATTGACCGGTTGGTGACCTGCCCCTAACCAAAATCTAAAAAAAATCTGTCAGGCAGCTACATACACGTGCGCATCGGGTCCAACTTGGCTTGAGACGGGGCCAAGTGTAACTTCTTGGCTGGCGGCGCGGCCCCGTTATGCTGCGACTGATTCGTTATTTATTGGCCTCACGAGCTCTCGCTGCTCATACAATCGCACATTCCAGATTAACTGTGTCACAAGAGTTTGTGCGATAGTGAAATAGTAAATTAACTGCTTCAGGCTGTATCAGTTTCAGGAGTCTTTGTGATTAAGCGGTAGTGGTAAGGCTTGATAGACTACGAGAACTTAGTTGACGGCTTTATAATTAACCCAAAATGTTGTCAGTGTCCAGAATTTGCTTCATGCTGAAAATCAGCAGATTTTTTCCTGAAAACAGAAAAATAAATATTGCTCATTTAAGTTTCTATGTAGTGATTCTTTATTTATTTTATTTACTATCATAAAATTTTAATACTAACAGCATTCCTAATAAGGTATTTAAACCGCTCACACATATTAAAACAGTACATCCCTCACTAGCACGTTCACAGGACAATACCAAGAAATTAACGTCTGAAATTGGCCTTCCACTTTTCCCAATCAGAATATTGCGTCAAAAGGCAAAAAGCTGTAAATGTTGAATATTTTCGCAAAACTTACAAAGGGTGCTTAACGAATGCTAGTTTTCATTGTCGATATTGCTTTTGTGCATCGAATCGGATTACTCGTATTGTGAACGGTTTAAATCACAAGAGAAATCAATGTAGAAGGGCCATTCACTGCAGATTCGAGTTAAACTCGCACACATGGTCATACTTTCGTTAACAGAACTAAATTAGCAAATAGGGGCCTTATTACAAAAAATAAAATACGCGTTGAACACTTGTCTAAAAAAATCATTTCCATATTATTAAAATAATGCCAATTTGAACAAGTGTTCAATAGTCTTTTTCCGTAGACTTTTCGTTCTTTGTTTACCGTAAGAAGGGCTTTTACAGTAACATTATACCTTCAGCTGGACGCCTAAAAAGCCTTAAAATTGCGCTGTCATAATTATAACGTGAATCGTATACCAATAGTAATCATACTCTCTCAAAAAGCATACACCTTGTAAATTGTGGCCACTTCTGTGTAGGAATTTGAAGTCTACATTTGCAGTGATATCACTACATTCACTTACACTGTCGCTTAAATGGAACAGTCGAACTTCATCATATTTGTAGATACGAAATTAATTTCAAAAGTGCGACTACGTTTTTGGATGCGATGAGGGAATTCGCAGTATTCAAGCAAAAATATCTCGCTCTCCAGTTTTAATTCTCAGAATTCAAAATAACTTATTTGCGACACGTTAACCAAATTAAAGGTTTCTGTATCTTTTTTATTACCTACCACACTAGTAGGCCGCCACCTGACATGTAAATGAATTATTTAATCCTTTTAAGAGCTGTCAATCAAGAATTAGATTTTGTTTGCAATAAAAGCCTACACGTCAGTTTATCATTGACTCGAGTACCAAAAATGAAAATATATTCGTCTCATCATAGATTGTCCCCAACGGGATTCGAACTAGCAACTGCATTTGGATTGACCCATTTAGATATTGTCCCGAAGCAGTGGTAGGGTTAAAGTAATACTTGGACGTGTAAAAGTGCTTTTTATAGCCTACTTATTAAGAAAAAATAGTGGCTTTTATAAGTATGTACTCGTATCTCTCTAGTAACTTCTTAAAAAGACCATTGTTTGCGAACAAAATAAACAAAGCAAAATGCAATTTAAGTAATTAATTGGATGTTTCATTTTGAATTTCGCAACACCAAACCTGCGCCTAAGCCACAGCTGACAGGGCCATAAAATAATTGAAAATTGTTAATACTGAAGGCCGTAAATAATACTGCAGGCGGGCTGTGTAAGGACACGTGTCCACTGCTAGTTGGCTATGCCCAAAGAATATTGATAAATAAATACCTACATTATTCTTACAAAATAATATTAACTGCATGTTTTTTTTTCAATACAAATTAGTTTAATAATTTTCAAACTTTCCATTGCCAAACAAATTAGCTTAATTAAATGAAATGACTATGTTATATATTATTGACAATACTTAAAACTCAAGGGTAGGCACAACAGACAAGAAGAAGAAGAAGAAGAATATTATTTATTTGGCACAATACACAATACATGATATAGGCACAATACAAGATTAAAACATAGAAAAAACAAAAAAGAAAAATAAAATAGATTATTTGTGCCCTGTGCCAAAAAGGTCCCTGACTCAGCATTAGTCGTGACAAAGATGCCACGACACTGATTTTCAGCAAGGACCTTTGGGGCACTGGGGTCGCCGTAAAAATAAAAAAAATAAAAGAAAGAAACACACAGATTATACCTAACATAAATACAAACAATAAAATCATAAAACAAATATTATGAGCGTTTACGCCGTTTGGCGCAAAAACAGTACTTTTTCAACCCGTTACAATCGCCAACCAAGTTACATTACAAATAATTATTATGTTATAGGCATAAAAATACCTATAGGCAATTTCGTCGTCTAAATAGTTAGTTGAGAAAATATTTCAATTAGTATAGTATTTAAGAATTATATCAAGATAAGTCTACACAGGTTTTCAAATTTCCACTTTAACGTCAGTTTACAAGCTTAAATTTTTATAAAAAATACTGTGAAAACGATTAACAAATATTTATATCCTATAGTATAGGTCCATCCATAATATGGAGACTATATTATAGTCTCTCTCACGTAATACGTCCCGCATGACACTCCAAGGTTATCCACACTACGCATACCATGCAAAATACTCTCGAAAAAATATTTGTATTTAATTAGCAATATAATAAAAAAAAATAACTACCTTGTCTTGAAATATATAGTAAAATCTAAGTCTATTGATTATATTTTAATTAAACACGATGTAAAAATATTTTTCATTTAATGTACGCAATCTGTGAAACGGAATAGATTTAGTGCTGAGGTATTTCTTGTATAATAAAATCGATTATTTCCGCGGTTCATTAATCGATTGCAGTGAATACTTAGTTATTAAAAACATCACAAAAATCAACCATATTTTCGATTATTGACTTTAATAAACCACACACTAGCCACACACTACGGTACACAACATTATTTAGTAGTAATCCACATAAAATTTTAACTCAAATTGATGACCAAATAGAGGTAGCGCAGGTTTATTAGTAGGTAGGTTACAACAAGGTGCGTCAAACTTTGAACTTAACACCATTTTAAGCAGACCTAAAGGTCTATATTAACATAATATGTCATGGATCAGTTGCTATTTCGATACAAAATATAAATGGAATGTTCAAAAGCCAACATTTTATGCATGCACTGCCTATAGGTATCTTTAGCTACGCTTTAGCTTGGCTTGTCATTGGACACCTACCCTGAGTGTTTTATGCAGAGCTACTACGTGTTAATGGTCCACGATGAGCCGACGACATAAATTTTGGGCTTTTATCCCATTTTTGTGCTGGTTTATTTCAACAAATTGCCGGGTTCCCTACACTTGATTATAATGGGGGAAGACTGAACTTTACAGCAAAGATAGGAAGCGTGAAATGCAGCCAATGTATAAAAAACTAATTTTGTTTTTGCAAGTAGGTTTTTAAAAAGCTCTTCTACACGTCCCAGAGTTGAATAGTGTGAATAGGCACTTACAGGGCAGATATGTAACCATCCTAGACTGCATCTCACTTAACACCAGGTGCGATTGCGGTCAAATAACTGCCTTTTCTTGCATAAAAAACGTATTAACCCTATCACTGCTACGGGACAATGTATATGGGCATGAGCCAGATGTCGTGTTTGAAACTAAAAATAAAGGTTCAGTTGTAGTTATTATTGATTAATAACGCTACGTTACTATACATTATAGTTACTATACAGATAAAGCGGGTTTCATCTGAGCAGAAGATATGTTGAATCGACAGCAACTTTTTGTATGGATCCACGAATAGGTAATAGGTAATATTGTTTTCGCAGTCACCATTAATCCTTATTAAGCGTTTTTCGTAACCATAAGTAGAACCTTTCCTGAATTTTGGCATGTTTTTTACAAATAACTTTGTAAGTAGGTTAATATGATTTTGATGCTGGAAACACGTCAATTAAAATGTTGTATTCTTTAATAATAACACCATTTAAAACACAACATAATATCCGACCTCAGTATTCCTCGTCAGTCCCTAACAAACCAAACAAACCGCCGTCGGCAGAACCCCGCTGAATTTACAACGATGAAAACGACGTGTTACGCTGTTTTTAGTGTCGATTTTACGATAAATAGACCATTTGTCGGGACTATTATGGGTATACGACGCATTGAATGGGCGTTAGGAGGACCCGGTTTGGAGTGCAGCCGGTGATACATTTGGCGGGCGGTGTCGCGATCAGAAATGTCATTTAGCTTTGTTGGTATTGAAACGGTTAAGTCAGATCGCTATTTTGAGAAGCCATTTTGTGTTGCAAATGGTTCGGGTTATTTACGGGTCAGTTTTCAATTTCGTATTTTCATTGAGAATTGACTATTGAATGCAGTATTTGTGGACATAGCCCGTTGAAGGAAGCCTTGGTTTGTTTTCTGTTATGTCTTTTAAAAATATTTTTTGTGTTTTCCTGTATGTCGACTTACTTTTATTCTTAATTATTAATGGGAAAATAATTAAGCTATGTCATCCATAGAAAATACTTATTACAATTTAAATGAATCTCGAACATGACTGAAACGAGCCTGTCTCACCTGAGGCATTAATGGGCAGAGCCTTTAATTATTAAAGGAAAATCATGTTGTTTTTCATAATTCAGAAAAAAATACATTAATGCATTAAACATAAGTGTACAATTACTCTTTTACATTTAAAATACGGTCAAATGGCGAGAAAAACTTAATAATACCATACAATCCTCACAATAGTTCCCTGAAACCTTAACAACTGAAGTATAATAACCTGGTACTCATATACTTACTAAATATGAAGCAGCCATATCCAGGTCACCCTAACAACGTCCATTATCCGGAGTCCTTATCGCCTCGCAGGTAATTTCTGTGCAAATGTCTCAATTAACAGAAAAGCTTGATCGCCCGACAGGTATAAATTGGGGCCATTTTGCTACTACTTCGTAGACCACTAACGTAATAGAAAGCAAAGGATATAATTGAGATAGTACTATCTTGTTCTTTTTTGTAGTCCATCAGATTGATAGTTTGTAGCTCATTTCTGAAATTAGTGATAGAATTTCATGCGCTGCATCTTATCATTTTTTTTTTTTTTTNGGTTAATATAAATAAATAGAAATAGCAGTAGGAGGTACATTCGATTCAGGAGCAGTTCACCGAATTTACCATGCATTCTTGTATAGTGTATCTTATAAGAATGGGTATACAAAATTGCGTGGTATATTAAACAAGGTAGTGACGTGCTAATATCTAGACTTACAGATTACATACTTAAATACTTGTAGAAATGACTCGCATACATAAGTTGGAATAACTTGGATTGACCAGTCCCCGAAAGCAGCGCCTGTTCACAGACATGACGAGTGAACCAGCATTCGTATTTTAACATTAAATTAATTTGAAATGGTCCAAAACAGGCAATATTTTGTGCCACAAAACTAACGTGACAGAAACGAATCGCTGCAAAACCGACTCCACGTAGTCTTGTCTGCCATACCCCTAGAGTGTAATTTAAAAGCCGGAGGCGCGGAGGGAGGGCAGCCCTCGCCCGCTGTAACGAGGCTCAGGCGCCCGGGTGAGCTGGAGCGGCTGAGGCTGGTCGCCGAGGCGCCGAAGGCGCCGATGGCGATCCAAAAAGCCGAAGCTGTGGAAGCAAGCGTGGGTGCCTGAGCCTCGTTACGCAAGGGCGGAAGGGTTGCACATCCCGCAGCGCCGGAGACGAGGAGATACCAATGCATGCTGCATGCTCTGCATGCTTATCTACTCTATTAAATTATATATGCTTTTTTTAAAGATACGAGTATGTCTGTTATAAAGTAAATTATTCTGAACAACAACATTATGAGTTGAAGAATGTTCTTAGTAACAACATTATGAATTAAAACAATATGATCAATGAATGTTATGAAGAAAAAAGATCTGAAAATAAAAATTATGTATTTTAAATGGTTCTTGATACTGTTACTGTATTGATAAAAAAATTATGATTACTAACTGTTATGAGCTCCGATGGTAGTAATAAAAATGTATGAATAAAAAAGTATGAAAAATAAAATTATGAAGAGAGATTATTATGAACACAAATCGGTAGTAAGACAAAGAATAGAATTTAGAATTTTATGTGAGCCAATATAGAACCTATAATATCATGTGTGGCTTAGTTCGAAATTAGACGGAATAGTTCTTCTAATATTCGTTGCGGGTGCAACGTTTCCCCCGAGAAAAATTTTAACTTCAGTGATCGGATTTTTTTGGCAGTCAAGCTCTAGTTCCAAGCTACACAGGAGTTGCAGCAGTGGGAAAGTTCTGGAAGTAATTGTTTAAAATTGTTTAAAACATCAAAGAAAAATATTTACAGATTCACGCAGTTGCTTGAGTCAGAGAAACAACCTCCTAACGAACACTTTCCTCTTCCTCCCCCTCCTTGGATTAGAGAAAAAGGGAACGTGACAACCCTCAGATATGTCCACAACTACGTGTACCAATTGGGCTACCTCCTCGACTACTGGTGGGACGAGAACACGAAGATAGACCCTCATATCGACGAGCTGCTGAGTCCGGAAAACAACACGAGGATGCTTATTGATATTATGAAAGAGGTAGGGTACCTTACTGCGTCTAATTGAAATACGTATGTAGTCTAAATCTAAAATAAAGACTAAAATAGTATTGACAATGCTGATGTTATTCGTTTGTTGACAAAATAAATAATAATATGAAAAAGTTACAATAGGTATTAAAAATCGTAACTTACTAGATACTGACGCTAGCTACGCTACAGCCCAATTATAATTGCAGTTAGCGTTTGCCTATCCTCATTTTCAAGAGGAATGTTAGCACAGTTCAGTCTCATCAGTTTATAGGTACATAAATTGATCAACTGTTTATAGTTGGCTCCAAGTTGCGAAGACATGTTGGTGACATGCATATGGGCCGCCAGAAGGATCAACTGCAGCGACATCTTCCAAGTGCGACGTACCAGCAGGGGCCACTGCTGTGCCTTCAATTATGTTTTGGACTATGATTCTGCTAAAAGGTATCCATAAAAAAAATCTACCATATCTCTATCGTCGTCGTCATTCTGTTCTCTGCAGTTCTGTTGAAATTAATAAACTTGAAGGTATGATGGAACTCCATGGGCGTTACAGAATCTGCTAGCTAAATACTCGTACGTAGGTACTTATACCTAATCAAAATCTATTTATTTTCAGACCTAGTGGTACCATAGCGGAGGTGAAAAGACAAAACGTGCCAGGATATTTGCAAGGTTTAAATATTTTACTAGACCCAAAAATTGAAGACTATGCTTATACAGTCAGCCCTAGTTTAGGGTTCAAAGTAAGTGCTAAACTAATGCGTTTTAAGCATGTTTTTTCTGAATTGGGGAAAATTCTGTAACAGATTTGAGGAGCTAGGTGGCTCGTTCGTTTCAGCCAAATGACGTCCACTGCTGGACAAAGGCCTCCCCCAAGGATTTCCACAATGAACGGTCCTGCGCTGCCCGCATCCAGGCTCTTCCCGCGCTAGGTGGCTCACTCATTTATTTGTCATTTTCACTTGGACTGTAGTAATTTCTATTCACTCATTCTGACCACCACATGCCCAATCGTCTCCATTACAAGATGCTTGCGCCTTGCACCACGTGTCCCCCTTTTTGCTGACGTAACTTTGGGCAAGTTAACTTAAGTATCGCTTTTAATTTGATAGTGTGATATGTTATAGTTACGTACTTATGTTTCCCAGATATTCCTGTTCGATCCAACTCACTTCGCCGACCCAAACGCCGGAGGTCGTGTAACCCGACGCATCATAGAACCGGGTCAGTGGACATACCTCCAGCTGCAGTCTGTCAAACAGTTCACTACCAGGGAAGTCAAGAAATATCCAGTAAAAACGGTAAGAAAATCATCTGAGACTACCTTTTTCATGAAAAAGGTGGCTGTTTCCTGTCTACAGGTTCTTTATAAATCTGTTAGGAATTGGTAACTGGTATATTTTCAGCCTTTAGCGTCTCTTTTCTTAAATTTCATAGCTTTCATCCTAATACCTAATTATTATTTTACTTCACAGAGAAAATGCCTATATCACGACGAGGATACCGAGACATTTGGCTCTCTGTATTCTTACAGCGCATGCATAGTGAGCTGTAAAATCAAAACTATTAACACTCTATGCAAATGCACCCCTTTTTTCTTGCCGACGAACAGAGATGACTCCGTTTGTACACTAAATGAACTACGATGTCTCAATAAATACAAAGGTTTACACTTTAAGTACATAATTAATTTTACATTATTTTCGGTAACATAATGTTGGTACTTAATGAGTTACGTTCTTTTGCAGAGAAGCTCCTGTATTTGTACCCAACGGACGCTCTAATAACTGATGGTTTGGAAACTGAACTGGAGGACTCATTGTGGTGTCCTCAGTGTCAACCTGACTGTGAATTCACCCAGCACTTTTCAAAGGCCTTTAATAGGCCTCTAACGCTGGCTTTTTCTGAATTTGAAGATTTTAAAGAAAAAGAACACTTGTTTGAATTACTGTAAGTCCTACCACAGAATACATAAGCGTCCTACCCCCTCAATATACGTTTCCTTTATATAAGCTATTACAAGTTAGAACCCAGTACCTTAAGTACTTACCCAGTCTTTAGAATCAAAGCACAAATCTGCAAATAAGTATTTATTAATAGGACGAGGACTGTAAACTCGACGTTTCACGTAGCTAGATTAAAATAGTAACGAATGGTTTACCCCTTTTTTCTCAGTAAGGGTGTCAACATGTCCAACAAATGCTGGCTTAGCATTTTTCAGTCCACATCAGACGGGACCTTAGATCGCCTCGACGTTATTTATTATTGGTACGAAATACTAAGTAAGTAGGACTACCGTTTCAGTTTTTGTGTTTACTGCCGATTATTATTATTGCGGTGAAAATTAAGTTTAATTACATGTATTTACATTATTTTTTGTAAGATTATGCAATTATTATAATATTGTGTTGATCATAAATTGCCTTTTCAAATTTTAGGTAACGTCGGGGGATATGCAGGAATATTACTTGGACTTTCAATCTCAAGCGTTATAGAAGTTTTTTATTTTTCTATATTTCGTTTTTCTAGGCATTTTTATATTAACTATAAAAAATATCATTAGTTAATAGCTACTATGTTATACGATTTAGATTACATTTAGATTTGCAATATTCTATTCAAACACTTTTTTTAATTCGACTCTTAGGACTTCTTGAGATAATTTTAAAACTGATGTTGCGCTAATTTTGTTCATGCACGTTCACGCACACTATTATTGTTATTAATCCACCATTATTATGTATATTACTTAATCATAGTCGACTAAATACTAAACACAAAATTTTAGACGCTTCACTTTCCCGCCATTCAACTTTACCAGTTGAATAAAAAAAGTTGCGTGCATTTACGAAGCTTGTAGATATTTTTAAATTCTATTCTTGTCGTAGTGTCAATATCGATAAATTAATAAATATGTCGGCGCCGGACTCAGATGCTGCAAATGATTATTGATGATTAATAGTACCAATCTTAATATTATGTTATCTGTATAAATCTGTAGAGCGGAAGGTTTGTGATTCCTAAACGTAACACCCGACTGATGCGCAGAAAAAGATAACTGTCATTCAGTTGTGTCATGTCAAGTGTGANATGCATCTTATCAACATTGAACCAAATTTTTAAATAATGCAGCAGTGGTAGGGTTTAAGTGACGTGTAGAGACGCTTTCAGAAGCCTAATTTTGCAAAAATCCCATCAAACGACATTCTCGTGTTCAAGTGAAATCTTTAAGCATCCCCTAAGTTATTAGAAGCGTTATGTCTTGAACTCTGCATAAAATAAAAGTTTCAGCAATTATCAATAACATTAAACAGACAGCAGCCAACACCAGTTGTAGGTACTTATTCTCTTATTTAGACAAGTGTCCCACATTTCTGTCTTCAGTAACAAACTGTAAAAGAACGAAAATTTTGCATTATAAAAATATTTAACAACTCAGCGTCCGTGAAAAGGGCTCTATGTTCTTTAAAAGGGCATCTATTGTGCTAAATGATCTGTGATCACGACAATTTGGCCGCTCAAATCACGGCACAACCGGACTCGGCCGCCATTACAGTCTATTAACAGCGTATTTCGTGTCCGAAAAATTTATAGCACCACGTAATGTGCAATAAACCTATATGTGCGGGTGTCACGCTATTTTTACGTCGTATCTCTTCCCATTTACGCGTATTTTGGTTTGTCTTTTGTTTCGAATGGGGTGCTAACAGCTTTATGGCAACACTCCCATATATGATATTTTTTACAGGAAATTAAAGCTCAGAACGTCTCATCATCTTGCATCTGTGTACCCAATTACATCACTTCTTAATAATAGTACTTTAGTAGTTTGTACAAGTGAATCGATTGTAAAAAGGTAGACCCTGTGTAACTTATTTTCTGATGGGGAACGGGAGCAGCAGGGAATTTTGTTAAGTATGTTCCCATCCCAATTCTATGTTAGAAGAGGTACGCACAAATGTGACCGATAGACACTAAAAGGTAAGCAACTTGAAGCTTGCTACGTAAAACTTTACTACTACGTAAAGCTTTCAAGAGGAGAGCGTATCTTCACCTTAAAGGCCGGCAACGCACCTGTAACGCCCCTGGGTCTGCGGGTGTCTATGGGCGACGGTAATCACTTACCATCAGGTGATCCGTCTGCTCGTGTGCCTCCTGTCACATAAAAAAAAAACTAAAGCCATCGTCAGTCCACCTACTGCCCCGTCGACCGTCAATTCTGGATACTATTTGTCCTGCCCTTAACCATGCTGAACCGTGGTTTGTCAGTTCTTTATAGTTCACTTTCCAAAGTTCCAAAAATTCATGACATTGTATCTTTTGTAAACAGTATCATTTATAATTATTTCCACATAGTACTTACCTGTTACCATGTTGGTTTTTCGCAATATCTCAAAACGTAACAGGCTTTCCACTTCACTCGCAGTGTAATTCTTTCTTCCCTTTCCACTAATAAAAAGTAAAATTCCCAGAAATAAAAGTTCCCAGAAAAATCAGTTTTGTAGTCTTTGGCTGAGTGCCTCCAAAGGAGGTACATTTTCCCCGACTTTATTATACCCTTCAACGATTTAACATCTTTTTTTACGTAGGTGTTTCGCCTCATTTTCCTTTATTTCCCACGTCAGTCGAAGTGAGGGGTCAGAGCGATCGTTCAACGTTTATTTTCATTTGGTAGGTGCCCCTTTTGCACCCTTGTCTTCCCTTGATACATTGTTGAAGGGTAAATGAAATATACTCTACTTTTTGCTTTTTTATTAAAACGAGGGTCTTTGTTAAAAGGGAAACTTTCTTTTTGCTGTAATTTTGTATTTTTACTGGGAATGTAAAATAAAATGGGAGTATTATTTCACCTGTACCTATTCAGGCTGATTACATAATAAAATGTTACAATTATTTTTACTCACTGCAAAGACATAAGTATTACCTACACAATTGGAAGAATATCATCCATATAACGCTTTGATCGCAGCGTACGAGTACTTACTCGTATATACAATTTTTTATGTGCGGCTCCTAGCCTAACCTCAATGGACATAATATTATCCTCAATACTATAGCGTTACACTTATTTCTTCCACTACCGTTATAATACCTGCCTCTTTTAGGAAAATAATGCAACATTTTGCAAATTTTTGTAAATAACTAAAAACGGTTTTTTTTTCTACAAAATCACAAACTGCAAGCTTTGTTGCATTTTACAGACTTCTGTATTATTAGATTCATTTGAAAACTATTAGGCTGAGTTGCACCACCTAACTTTGACCGTAACTATAACGATTACCGGTGTTTTTGTATGGAATTTGACAGATTTTTGACGTTTGTGAAAGTTAAATGTTGCTAAGATGGTGCAACCCAGCCTTAAACTCTGGCATTTTTCAATAACCGTATGTTACTCCATCTACTACTCCTAGACAACGAATCGTCGCAATCCACGGTAGGCCAGCCTCAAACAGTAGTCCTAATCCAAAGATCGTATTACCCCCAGGCCTGGGGCACAGCAATAAATTATACAAAGCGGATTCCCAGGTGGCGTGAAGTAGCTAACGTTTCTATTGTGTTTCTACTAAGGTTCGCGATTATTCTTGACGCTTATGTTACTTAATCGTGTTAGGTACTTGTACAGAACCACTAAGTCGTAGCATGTAAATCGTTTTTCGTCAAACAATCAGTCAAATTAGACCTGCTATTTTCCAGCAGAAGAGAAAATTTTCAGATGGACGTATTTCTATCCTACTAATATTATAAATGCGAAAGTGTGGATGTCTGGATGTCTGGATGTTTGTTACTCTTTCACGAAAAAACTACTGTTTGATGAAAATTTACAGTATTATTGTTTATAACCCAGAATAACTTAAAGGCTATAATTTATGACGATTAGTGACAAACTAAATTTCACGCGGGTGAAGCCGCGGGCAAAAGCTAGTTTGAAATAAAATGTACTCAAATACGAGAAATTGCGATATTATCTTTCATTTAACACTCTTGTGGATGCAGCATGAAGTTTTCACGAAAATTAGTCAAATGCCTTGCCATCATTGAACATTTTCATGCATTTGCAACATTTTCTTATCATCAAAATATATATTATTTTAAATGAAGTTTTAACAATAACGAAGTTTACATTGCCTAATTAATGCTTTAAATCTTTCGCGTAAATTCAAAAAAATATGTTGTAAAATATTTACTAATTTGGTTTTTGTCATTGTCACATTTGTCATTTTTATTCATCCTGCTCTGTAGATGTTCTAAAGTAGGTACATAATAATATCTTCTCCCTATCTCTCTGACAGAACAACCCTTAAAGCAAGTTACCAAAGTCTCGCTAACAATTACGATACTAAGAACTAATAAAAGTTGTCGTGCGGACGTGCCGCCGAAATAAGCCGGGACGTGTCCCGCGTACCGATCCGGGACTTTCCCTTCACCTATTTCTTAAGTTCCCCGGAAATAATTGGCGGGTAGAGTTTCTTAATTCGACTATGGGATGGCCATTGTTGTTATGGCGATCGGGATAAGGAAGGTTGGGACGTGTTTCTCTTTTGCTGATACTAGGTGTTTGAATGGGTGTGCTTGCGTTGTAGTCATTGAACTACAACAAAATACCTATATAAATTCACTGGACACAAGTCACAGATTTATGCATCATCATCATTATAGAAGGCATTTTGCTGAATAAACTAACAAAGGTTAATGGATCCTAATAATAGGTACATAAAGGATCTAATGCTGATGACATATTTTCAGTATTAGTTCAGCCGAAGGCTTTCTATGATGATGCATAAATCCATGATTTATGTCCACATAAGCCTTCCCAATAAGTTTGAATCCTGTCACAGCTAACTCTGCAGACTGTAATAGTATTAGTGCAGTTTTTTTTATCAGATTCTAACAAACAAATAAATCTGCTAAGTTATTACAGTTGCGTGAGTGACAAACGGGCTTCTAAGACAAATCTACCTTTAAAGTACTAAA